TCAAACCCTAAACCCTAAGATAGAGGCCTTGTATATTTTCGATTATACCCTAAATTACATGACTCAAACCCTAAACCCTAAGATAGAGGCCTTGTATATTTTCGACTATACTCTAAATCACATGACTCAAACCCTAAACCCTAAGATAGAGGCCTTGTATATTTTCGATTATACCCTAAATTACATGACTCAAACCCTATACCCCAAAAAAACATAATCAAACTCACATGACTCAAACAAACTCCAGTAAAGTATATGCTAAATTCGTATAAATATATGATATACATATTCGAGTATGAGTAAAGATTATGCTAAATTCATGTAAAGTACATGCTAAATTCGATCAAAATTGTTACCCTAAACCCTGGATTAATTTGATCAAAAATGGATTAATTTGATCAAAATGTTACCTAGAACCCAATTTTATTGGTTTAGCGAGTAACCCGACCCGTAACCGGATCCACTTCCCCCCCCCCCCAAACACGAGATTTCCTTTTCATTTGACAAAGGTAAAGAAACCAAACACGACAGAGAAGGAGATTAGGGTTATATCGCGGCGAAATCAAAACTATCAGCATCCAACTCAAACATGAGCAGTTCCTTGTCGTATTCAACTTGTTTCCTCGATTATCGACACATGGTGTGCCTTTAAGATGTTGGTGTGGGGAGAGCATTAAGACTTACGGCTCGTCGACGCCAGAGAATCTATATCGCTGATTCTATCGATGCGAAGCTGGAGTACATGTAAGTTTCAACCATGATTTGATTGATGGATATTTCATACTTGTTTGATATTGCTTAGTGATCATATTTTGCAGACAAGATCTGAGAAACAAATGTTGTTGTTGTTTTGATTTGTGTTAGAGAAAATCGGAGAATCATCTGTTCAAATGGATTGATGAAGCCCTCCTTGACGAGATAAGGTCAGTAGATGCGAAACAAGATAGGGTAGCTCGAAATCTTGCAAAGTTTGAAGAAATTCTTAGTGAAACTGTCAAGTCTGAGCGTGTTATAGCTGAACATGAGATGACACAGAAGCTGAAAGAAGTGGTGAATTTGGAGGTTGCTAGAGTTGAGAGAGATCTGGCCGAAAAAGTGAATGAGAAGGTCAAGATAGAGTTTGTTAGGTTGCAAAACGAGATGAAGAAGAAGGTGAAGCTTGCGACAATGGCCATGGTAGTTGTTGGAGCAATCGTTGGGATATGGACTGCTTTTTGACTAGCTTATTGAGTGTAACAACCGCATCGTATGCAACTCATTTTGAATTTGTTTGCAACTTCATTCAATTTTCATTCTTGATTGTAACGACTTTTGATAAGCTTATTCATCTCTTTTGATTTTGTTTGCAACTTGAGTATATCAAATTTTACTACCATGTTTAACACCAAAATCATGTAGAAAGAACAAAGTTGTAACACCAAAATCATGTAGAAAGAACAAATCTAAAACACCAAAACCCAGTAACAAACACAACTTAAAAAGAGAGAAAAAAGATCGAAACCTTTCATAAACACCATGACTAAATAACTCTATCACATGTAGCTCTGTTATGATTCTCCATGCCACATCGACTGCACTTGCGCTTCTTTTTATGCTTAGATCCTTGCGATGAACGGATCTTGTCTTCAGCTGTCTCATACCTACGTTTTCTTATCCTACCTGCTCCTCTTCTCGATTCCGGAGGCAGCACATCAGCGTTTTGAACATCCTCTTGAACAATCCAACTATCCTCAGGAACACCTATTGGATTGATGGCTTCTTGATAACATGTTCTCCAAGTGGAAGTAGTGTACATGTCATCTGTAAGTGATTGTGGCTCTCGGCCCTCCGATAAACCAGCCTTAATGGCATGTTTGCATGGAACTTTTAGCAAGTCGTATTTTCCACAAGAACAAGTTCTCATCTCCAAATCAACCATGCAATCAAATGTGTCTCCACGAACCAAAAACTGATGTTCTTTAATTGGCTGGACAAGAAATTTTTTACCCTTGTCTATCCTCCTATCTATCTTTTTTTCGATGGCAATAGTTAATGGTTGTGTATGCTTACTGCTTAATTTTCGGCGTTCGAAGAACCAACGAGTCAACATTTCTTTGATGCTATCCAACAAAGGAATAACCGGATACTCTCTTGGTGTGCGCAAAGCAGAGTTTATTGATTCAGCCGGGTTTGTGGTCCTGATATCGAACCTGAATCCGGGAAACATGCAGCGAGCCCACTTTGTAACATCAGCATTGTTTAAATAGTTCCCTGCCACTGGATTAATATTGCACACAACTTGGAACCGCTTCTGAAAATCGACCATTCTATAAGCTTTAGAAGCTTTTGGAACCAATCCAGCCACTCCCTTTCCTCGGTACCCTGTGACCACATTATTCAACAAATGATGAATGCAAATTCCATGTCTAGAGTGAGGATATACATTCTCAAGAGCCTTAACCATCGAGGCATTTTGGTCTGTCACAAACGCTAGTGAAGACTCGTCTGCCACAACAACCTGTAGTTGACCCAAAAACCAATCGCATGAACGATCATTTTCTGAGTCCACAACCGCAAAGGCGATAGGATACAAGTTAGAGTTTCCATCTAAAGCTGTAGCAACAAGCAATGTTCCTTTGTATTTGCCCTTCAAGAATGTCCCATCAAGAACAAGAACCTTTCGAATGGCTGTGTGAAAACCTCTAACTGATTGTCCAAACGAAATAAAGAGGAATCGGAATCTGCCATCTACATATGTCTCATAAGCCGTATGTGTTCCTGGATTAGCTTCCCTCAGCATATGCAAATATTTCGGAATTTTCTCAAAACTTTATCTGGAATACCTCTAACCATGTTAATTGCATATTCACGAGCATCCCATGCTAAGGACTTTGATATCTCGCAGCCATAATCTTCCCTCATAATCTGTATGACATCCTTTGTTTTTGGACCTTCTTTCACACCATCATACCTATGCATTATAATCTTCCCAATAGTTTTAGTAGAAGCCGTCCGAACTCCATTTATCTTACTTGACGGAGCACATGTATGATCTGCAACATATTTGTTGATAATGAAATATGTGGAGCCTGATAACCCCACTGTTCGAACACTCCAGTTATAGCTGTTGTCAATGCATCTGATATACCAAAGTTTTCTGTCTGACTTCACAACTCTGTAATCAAAGTTATGCTTCATTGCTACGATTTCAAAAGTTGCTTTCAACGAAAACTTGTTTTCAAACGTTTGATTTTTCTCCACAACTTCAGTCAGAGAATATCGAACAGTTTTTCCCCTCGCGTCTTCCTTTCCACCTAAGTCCACCTCATCATCTTCTTCCCAGTTGTTCAAGTTGCATATGTATTCAACATGCTTACTCGATTCAGATGCACTACCAACATGATCTCGACATACAGACGAGGAAGGTTCACCTCGCTCTCTGATAGGCGAGTTTGATGCCGCCTTATCCACCCCAATGTTGACATCCTCGCCAGTTCCGTTGATGGATGAAATAGAGACATATAATCTTCTCGAAGCTTTCCCACGTGTGTATGTTAGGAAGTTTTTGACTTGCCTATCATTCTCAATGATTATCGGTGGACAGTCTATAGTACTGATTAGCTCCATTGGTAAGTAGCTTAACACAATCTCGACAAGATTTTGATCAATTCCAAAATCCTCATAGGCCATAATCCTTAACTCTGCAAAGGAACATGTCGACTCCACAACTAGGACTCTTCCTCCCTTTTCTTTGTCAACAACAAATCCCCATCCTTTAAGCTCCTCAAATTTCCAGAACCCACAAGAGGCATAGATATGCATCATCCTGAACAAGAGAATCAAAACTTTTAGGTGTTTCGAGTTAAAGTTGCACGTTAATGGTGAGATGAAGAAAGAGGTGTGAGATACCGATTTTTTAGCTGTGGAGTAGGCAACACGGTTTTTTGCACACGATTTTGGGAACTTCTTGTATGAAGAATATTCACTTAACAGAATTTGGAGAGATTTAAGGAAAGTTTACATTTCGAAATTAGTAGAGCATAAAATCTGAGATTGGTAGAATGTTGAAATCAATTTAGAATATGCAATACTCCTCCCGTAGATTTATGAAGTTTGTTAGATATTGCAATCTTAGGTGATAGACACAAGGTACATAAACAGAATTTGTAATTACGTATTGGTAGTTAAATGAGTAAAGGTAGATCACGAAACCCTTGGTACGGTAGATAATTACTAAACGGCAGACGTTCCATTCTTCCAATGTAGAATTATAGAATTTCGTTGATATTACAGTCTACCGTCCTCAGACACTTGTATAACTATCAGAGACATCACTTTACGGCCTTGTAGGCAGTGGATTATGTTATCTACTACTCGTAGATCGAAAATTGAATTTGTGTTGTACTCATATTTACTCAACAAAAATATTTTTCATAAACTTGTCTATTGTTTATGTACATTCTGTATATTTTTCTGGAATTTTCAACTCTCTAAAATAATTGATATGAATTTCTAAAGTAGGCAAAGGGTATGTTAGGTCAAAAATGGACCAAAAAGAGAATTATGGTATAGGGACAATGTTGTTGTTGATTTGTTCCATATTAGAAATTTTCCCTTTTTTATAACTCCTATGAAACCACGCAAATCACAAAACATATCTATGTCATGCTTAATTTAATTTTTAAACGGACAATTAATACAACGTTATCTACTAATAATAACAATCCTCATTAATTCCAAAGGTTGTGAATACCCATTAAATTAAAAGGTTTTGTTTTTAATTTAAAATTTAAATTTAGTTTCAAACAATGTGTCTTTTCAAGAATTAGTTTAACACCAAAGGTTATAAATCCTCATTAATTTGAAAGGTTGTGTTTTTAATTTTAATTATATAAATTTACTTTGAAACAATGTGTCTTTTCAAGAATTAGTTTATTTCAAAGAATGTTTTTAATATAAAATTTAATTTTTGGATTCAAACAATTTGTCTTTTCAAGAATTAGTTTATCACAAAGGTTGTGAATCTTTATTAATTTAAAAGGTTTTATTTTTAATTTTAATTATGTAAATTTATTTTGAAACAATGTGTCCTTTCAAGAATTAGTTTATTTCAAAGGATGTTTTTTTTAAATGTAATATTTTGAATATTTTGAAATAATATGTCTGGTGAAAAGTTACTAATAATAAAAATCCTCATTAATTTCAAAGGTTGTGAATACCCATTAAATTAAAAGGTTTTGTTTTTAATTTAAAAATTTAAATTTAGTTTCAAACAATGTGTCTTTTCAAGAATTAGTTTAACACCAAAGGTTATAAATCCTCATTAATTTGAAAGGTTGTGTTTTTAATTTTAATTATATAAATTTACTTCGAAACCATGTGTCTTTTCAATAATTAGTTTATTTCAAAGAATGTTTTTAATATAAAATTTAATTGTTGGATTCCAACAATGTGTCTTTTCAAGAATTAGTTTATCACAAAGGTTGTGAATCTTTATTAATTTTAAAGGTTGTATTTTTAATTTTAATTATGTAAATTTATTTTGAAACAATGTGTCCTTTCAAGAATTAGTTTATTTCAAAGGATGTTTTTTTAAATGTAATATTTTGAATATTTTGAAATAATATGTCTGGTGAAAAGTTATTTAATTTGTAAAGATGTGTCTATTCAAGAAATATATATATATATATATATTGAAAAGATGTATTTGTAGAAAATTGTGACTTTTCATTTTAAAAAACCGACTATAATTTGAAAAGTTGTAACTTTTGAAAGAATTCTTTGAGGCTCTATATATAGTGTGTGGCTAAAATTTCTTGAAACTAAAATTTTACAATCTTAAAAATATGATGAAGAAGAAAGATTCTGTAGAGTTACAATAATCGTAAAATTCATAGAACTTCAGGTCCACATCCGCGGGTATTACAATCGTTGAAACCAATAACAGAGACACTGTTACAAATAATGTAACTGTTTAATATTTTGTACTAAGATTTTTGGTTAATTAATTTTTTTTTTGTCATGAACCTTGCTATTCGCCAAATAATATGTAAATATGTAGGATGACATGAATTTGAGTGATAGTAATATCTTTAAAAAATGTCAGGGATGGGAGGATCAAAACCATAATGTGAAAAAAGAGTAAGATGGAGAATATGGAAGATAAAAACAATAAAACGTCTAATTTGAATAAAGAGTTGAGTAAAAAATCTGGAACAAATAATCGGAATACGAAGGAA